ATATCAATAAATCAATAAATATTCAATATATTAAATATATTGGTATACAATAAATAATTGTAGCCGAAAAAGTTTGAGCGGGAAAACTTCATCCATTTTTAGCAAAATGGTTTGGTCCATTATATAGATATAGATGGGTAAAATGTTATGTGGAAATTATTAGGGTGTGATTGGAATATGTATGTGATCGTTTTTTTTATTGGTTTTTTTAGACATAACAATTTAAAAAAAATATGGTATATTTAGTTGTTAGTAGAAAATTAAGTTTAAATTAAATATTATTTAAAATAAAATAATTAAAGTTGATTTGATTTAAAGTTTATTAAAATAATATACAATTTTAGTAAAAATTACGTGAGATGATGAATAGTGAATTAGAGGAAAGAGGTAATTGAGGGTGGTGTAGGATCTGCTATATTTATGCTCCGGATCTATTGGCTACAATACCAGTAGTAGGAAGATCAGTAGGAATAGAAAGACCAGTCCGTACGAGCCAGAAGGAGTAGTAGCAGGTATAGGTAAGCAGATATTATGTGATGTGCAAGAATAATTGGTTGATATTATGTAATTATATTTATAATATTGAAGATAGTAGAATTGAATTAAAATTGAGTCAAATTTGAGTTTAAATTTTTTTTTTTTTTTTTTTTTAAACCAGTCACACTGTTATAAGTTGTTTCTTGCACATTTGGATTCTCGAGCATATGCCTATAAAGTATAAATACTATAATTGATTTCTTAAGATATTATTTGTTTTAGCGAGTCGGATTATAATAAGTTGAAACACCTAAAATTTAAATTTGGACCCTAGCCTTTGATATTTTAGTTTGGATTTGAACTTTTATCGAGTGAAGTTGATAAACAAATTTAAGCTCGACGAATTAATGAACTTTACGAGTCGATATATGATAAAAATTTCAAGATTTATTCTGTTATTTTTATTTTTTATTAACTTTCACGAACTCGTTTTCGTCTTCTATCCAACTCAACAAAAACTACACGTCACACAAAGAAAAGAAAATGCCAAATCAAATGAAACGTGGCAATTGATAAGCGCAAATAATTAGGTGTGCCCTGGCACACCTTGCTAGGTGTGCCAGGGCAGAGAGTGAAGACACACAAAAAAAAAGAGAGTGAGTTTAAATTGAAATTGTTGTCCAATTTATTCTAGCTCACGCGC